GACTCGACAGCACTTAACAACAATTACAGAGAGTTACCAAAGGGAAGCTGATGAGATTGAACCGCCGACTTTGAGATTCAAGTCAAACTTGCAATTCAGCGCACTAAACGACAGCGCCAGGCTCGCTACGTGTTGGAACAGACTCTGCATCACTTAATAACGAAATGAGCTACTGCCCTCTAGTGGATAGAGATCAGAAAAGCGGATAAACATCCTACAATGTGCAGAACAACCATAGATTGAATCGTACAGCCCAGAATGTCAATGGGTTGACCATCTCTGGTTTAGGATTACTGATTCCTGGTAAGCACACTTACAAATGTTCATACCCTTTATTTTTTCATGGAGTTGAGCTTTCTTCTACTGAAGTATAGTGAAGAAGATCTGATATAGATATAATAGGACTACACAGTTAAATGGTCTATTACTAAGGTTGGTGATTTGAAGGCATATAGAGGAGTCCTGGTGTGGCGCTTCAGGATAAATACTGGACTGCTAACTGCTAGGTCGGAGGTTCAAACCCACCTCAGACCCTGTCGAGGCTCGTTATGAGCTGGAAACAACTTAACAACACTTAACAACAAAAGAAGAAGGAATACATGGTCTTCCTTAACACTTAACTTGGGAAAGTTAAGACCCTGAAAACTTTACAAATAGCCACAAACACTGTCTGATACAGTGTCAGAAGATGAGCCCCTCAGGCTGGAACATACTCAAGATACGACTGGGGAAGATCTATCTCCTCAAAGTCAAAGCGATTATGATAATGTGAATAGAGTAAAGCTTCCAGGACCTTCATTTGCTGATGGGGCATGACTCAATGTGAGAAGGAACAGATACAAAAATCTATTAGTAACTGGAACATGGAATGTAAGGGGCACTAATCTAGGAAGTCATCAGTGAAACTGAATCAGTAAAGATCAGCATCCTAGGCGTGAATGAGCTGAAATGGATGGATGTTGGTGGAGAATATTAAAAGTATCATGGTCTTCCAGAAAAACAAACAAATCAGTGTTGGAAGAACTACAGCCAGAATACTCCTTAGAAGCAAGGGTGTCGAGACTTCGTCTCTTGTACTTCAGACATGTTATCAGGAGGGACAAGTCCCTGGAGAAGGATGTCATGCTTGGTAAAGTGAAGGATCAGGGAAAAAAAGGAAGACCCCTGACAAGATGGACTGACACAGAGGCTGCAAAAAATGGGCTCGCAAGTAACATGGAGAAGCGAGTGAAGGACCCGACCGTGTTTGGTTCTGTTGTGCCTGGCAGTCCCTGGCAGTCAGAACAGAATCGAAGGCACTCAGCAATAACAAAAACAGAGCAATTTTGGAAGACGATTGTCAATCTGCTTCTGAAAAGTTAATGCCTTGAAAATCTCATGGAGCAGATTTACTCTTCACACATAAGGTTGCCACAAATAGGAGTTGACTCTGTGGTAATGAACAAGTACAGTACGAGTTCATAACCCAACATTGTCATACTGCGGTGGTTCACTTGTGGCCACCACACTGGAAGCTATGCTATTGATATTTCAAATACCAGCAGGGTCACCCATGGTGGACAGGTTTCAGAGGGGCTGACTGACTTAGAATGATGAGTAAAAAGTCCTGCCAATCTATCTTTGAAAATCAGCCAATGAAGACGACCTGGTTCACGACAGAACACTGTCTGATAGAGTGCTGGAAGATAAGCCTCCAAGGCTGGAAGGCATACAAAATACACAGGGGACCAACAAGTGGACTTGACCACACCAAGTTAGTAAAGGCTATCATTCGTTCGGTTGACAGAGCTGACTCAACAGCGGGTAGCAACAACACTGCAGAATTGTCAGGTTCTGAACATCTACTGTATGTGGTGTCTGCCATTGCTGTTGAAACATACTTCTGTACCATAGAACATACATACCAATTCTACAGTTTCTACACATACAATCCAGTGACGTGGGTCTCATTCTTTGAGTTGTGCATCTCTTCTTACTGTCTTTTTCCGAGTTATTCCCCTCCCCTCCATGTTAATAAACCCAGTGTCTTCTAAGTTTCCTATCTTACCTTTCAAGTGACCAATTGGATACCAAATTGTTTGTATTATTGTGTGCCGTCGAGTTGGGTTTCCAAGGAGCAGCTGGTGAGTTTGAACCATCGACCTAGAGCTTAGCAGTCTAGTGCTTAGCCTACAGCACCACACCAGGACTCCAGGTCCCATACGGATAGATCGTAAAAGAGCGCAATGCTCAAGGCAGACACTGTTTACTAGTTAAGCGAAACTATTATTGGGTTTGAAAAAGCCTTTTTTTTTTTTTTTTTTCAGATTTAAAGATTATCTTAAGGGGTTCATTCAGACTCCTTGGCTCCAGAAAAGCTGGATTCCATGAACGCTCAAAATTCTGTTCTGCATTTCTCCCCCTTTTGATCAGAACTTGAATCAGAACTTGAAGTTTCTGAAAATGGCACTTCAGCACAGGTTTAAATAGCGAAAAAGGAAGACCCTGAGTAAACTTGAAAAAGGTTAATCCCTGGTGGCATAATGGTTAAGTGCTCAGCTGCTAATGGAAAGATCAGGGGTTCAAATCCACCCGCTGCTCCTTGGGAGAAAGATATGGCAGTCTGTTCCCATGAAGATTTACAGTCTGGGGAATGTTGTGGGGGCAGTCCTAATCTGTCCTACAGGGTCAGACTCACAGGACGGCAAAACAGGGTTTTGGTTATTCATGGTTAGATGGGAGTCCTGGTGTGGCACTGTAGGATAAGCACTGGATCGCAAGGTCAATTTGAACAGCAAGGTTGGTGGTTCAGACCCACCAGGTGCTCCTCGGAAACCCTACATAGGGTTGCTATGAGTTGGAATCGACTCAACAGCACTGAACAACAGCAATGGTCAGACTGAGAAGGATAAAAACACAATAAGGAGAGACATGCCTGGACTTCTCCGAGACCGAGGTGTGGCCTTTCTGAAGGAGGCCCAGGAGAGACGTGGTGGAAAGGACCCTCAGATGAAACCACCCGGACTCACCTCAAGTTCTGAAGTTTGCAGTTGGGGTGTCTGAGTCCTTGGCACAGCAGCTTCACCCCCCGGCTTCCCAGGGCATTGTGGTACAAAACCAGCTCTATCAGGTTAGGATTGTTGTGCAGAGCAGCCGCAAGATGTTCACTGTAGGCATTGGGTAGAACACTCCTCTCAGGTCTGCATGAAGGAAAAGCGGACCAAAGACTAATTTGGTGACAGGTTTTGAGCTCAACTACTCACCTAATCCTGATCTGGCACTATAGGATTAGCCCTGGACTGCTAACCACAAGGTTGGTGGTTCAAACCCTACAGCTGCTTCTCAGAAACCCTATACAGGGTCATTATGAGTCGAAACGGGCACGTAACAACAACAATTTGCCTGAAGGCTGACAGTTTGAGCCAATCCAACGGTGCTGCAGAACAAAGGGAGAAAAATGTAAAGCAAAACTCAGAATCATAAGAGGCCAGGCTCACTGGTCTGACAGAGGCTGGCTGGTGAAAATATCCTGTTAGTAAGTAACTCTCCAGGTGTGGAACTGAATTCAACCCCAATGGTTTAACTTTTAGCCTGGTGATAGGCCTGTAGAGTGCTGAGCATCACCAGTTAAGAGCGTGAACTTGGACCCCATCAGATACTTACAAGTGTGCCAATGATGTCTGGAGCACTGAAGACCATCTCTCCCTACTGTCTTCATCTGCACTGAAGGCTGCTCCATACAAGTGCACCACCAGGACACTCTTGCAGCTCTTCATGCAAAATGAGGAGACCATGTGCTCCATCTTGGTGGCAATGTTGTTGACCACAACCACCTGAAAGTGGCTCAGGGCCTGTTGGATAAATTCCTCCTCTTGGATCTCATACAAACAGCTTAAGAGCTCCAAGGACCCCTGCTGGAGGGTAGACCCTTCACTCTGAGCTTTGCTCTGAATCCACTTCAACAATTCCATCTTGATGTGAGGTGAGACCTTCCAGCCAAGACTCTTCTCCAGGTAGCTTCTAATCTCTTCATTTAGGAGTCCAAACAAGAAGCGGACAGTGGGGGCCAGGAAGCTCCTGTTTGATGACCCATACTCAGCCAACAGTCTGCTCACATTCTGATCTGGACCCAACCCACTCTCCCAGCCATCTAAGATATAGTTCATGGCAGCAAAGAATTCCTGGAAACTCAGGTGGATGAAGCTGTAGAACTTCTCACAGTTGATGTCCTTCTGGAAGATGTTCATGTTGAGGAAGGCAGATACATCCACCCCATCCAGACCGTGTTTACGTAGGTCTTGCTCCTCAAATAGGACCTTCTGGTTCCAGAGACCATCAGCAGCCAAGGAGCACAGCCCTTTCTGGTTGAGTGGGGGCTTGTGAGTCGGGGTACCAGGCTTGGGTTGCATCAGATTCAGAAGATAGAGTGTGTACACTGCTGTGGTGGTCCTGGACGTCTGTCTTACAAACTCTGCGCCCTCTAGCTGCTGCTTGAGACAAGTGCAAACCACCCAACACACCATGGGAACAAAACACATGGTGAAGAGGGGCTCATTTTCTCTCACTAAATTGAAGGCTTGGCTGGCCTGCTCCTCACTGTGGAAATACTTGTAGAAGTATTCCTTTATCTCTGCCTCAGAGAAACCCAAGATTTCCACATGCCGGGGGTGCTCCAACAATCGATGGAGCTTCTCCAAAGCCGTGGGTCGGGTGGTGATCAGCAGAGATGACTCAGGAAGCAACTTCTTCTGAATCAGGCTGCTGAGAAGGAGCTCTGTGGGTTGTTTCTCTTTCCAGCAAAAGCACCAGGGGTCCTGAGGATGGTGGAATGAGGGCTTGAGCTCATCAAAGCCATCAATGATGAAAAGGAGGCACTCAGGAGCCTGGACAAGTTCAGGGTGAGGTTCGCTCTGCTCTGGCCAACAGCTGGAGATGAGATCTTGCAAGCTCCGCTCAGCCTTCTGGTTCATCTCTCTACAGTTGATGTAGAAGATGAAATCAAACCTACCCTGGAAGAGTCTTCCATCTGCCCAGTCCAACATCATCTTGTGAGCTAGCATGGACTTACCCATACCCGCTGCCCCTTGCAGGACCACAGTGTGGGGTGGTTCGGGTCTCTCTTCATCTGGCTCGAAGAGGGTCTCTATCTGGATGGGGCTGGCCAGGTGGTCCATGGTTCTCAAGTGTCCCTGGCTCATGGACAAAAGCTTCTCCTGGGCCCTCATGGGGTTTGAGTGCTCCTTCACCAAGAGAAGCCGTGTGTACCGGTGGCTGAGGTTGACACATTCTCCCAGTCGTGCGTTTCGGTCTTCCATCAGCCGGAATTTCCGCCGAACATAGTCATGGTAGGTTTCCCGAGGATCTAATGGAGAGGAATGAAGGATCCAAGTAAGATTTGTCAGGGACTTTTAATGAATTCATTGTTGATGTTGTTTACATTGAGTTGGCCCCTACTTATACAACCGAACGAAATCCTGCCCAGTCCTGCACTTGTAGATAGCTGTATTAGGCCAGTACTAAAATGAACTGGCTGGTACTGGCCACTTTAAATAGGACAATCATATGGCCTGCTATGCCAGAAATGACTAAATGAAAAGGAACAGAACTGCATTAACCATCAAAAAAAAAAAAAAAATGTTCCAAGATCTATCTTGAAATTCAACACTGTCAGTGATAGGATAATAGCCATATGCCTACAAGGAGGACCAGTTAGTAAGATGATTATTCAAATGTATGCATCGACTGCTAATGCCAAAGACGAAGACATTTAAGATTTTTACCAACTTCTGCAGCCTGAAATTGATCAAACATGCAATTGAGATGCGTTGATAATTACTGGTGACTGGAAGATGAAAGTTGGGAACAAAGAAGGATTAGTAAGTTGGAGAGTAAGGTCCTAGTGACGGAAATGATGCTGGAGATTACATGACAGAATTTTGCAAGACCCACAACCTATTCATTGGAAATACCTTTTTTTAAACAGTATACCTTACCAGATGGATTACATTGGTGTCAAGCTGACTACATCTGTGGAAAGAAACAATGGAGAATCTGAATATCACCAGTCAGAACCAGGCCAAGGACAGACTAGAAGAGACCATCAATAGCTCATATACAAGCTCAAGTTGAAACTGAAGAAATTGAAGACAGGTCTGCAAGAGCCAAAGTATGACCTTGAGTGTATCCCACCTGAATTTAGAGACCATCTCAAGAATAGATTTGACACAGTGAACATCAGAGACCAAAGACCAGACGAGCTGAAGGATGACATCATATATGAAAAAAGCAAAAGTCCATAAAAAGACAGAAAAAATTTAAAAGACCAAAATGGATGTCAGAAGAGAGTCTTACATTTGCTCTTTAACGAAGCAGAGTTAAGGGAATGAAAGAGTTGAACAGGTTCCAAAGGACAGCTGGAAAAGACACAGCTAAGTTTGTTGTTGTTGTTGTTAAGTGCCATCAAGCCAATTCCGACCCAGAGCGACCCTGTAGAGGGTTTCCAAGGAGCTGCTAGTAAGCTTGAACCACCAATCTTGCAGTTTAAATGATTTTACAGTCTGACACATTAGCCCACAGCACCACACCAGGACTCCTATCTGATTGTTTTGTACATAGTCTGAAGGTAACTAATGTTGAGGTATGAAGCAAGAGTAATGCTGGCTGTGATGGTCAATGTTTTGTGTCATTTTGTCATCTTGGGTCATGATTCTCTGTAGCTTGGCAGTTATGTAATGATGTCATTTGGCAGTTATGTAATGACGTCGCTTGGCAGCTATGTAATGACGTCATTTGGCAGTTATGCAATGATGTCATCATTCTCCAGTTGGTGATCTGGTGTGATCATCCTCTATTTTTGCATAGCACTGATTTTTCACATACAGCCTGATCTTTGGAATCTACCCGTGTGGTTAGTGGGGGAGTGGGAGTATAATGAAATATACAAAGACTTGGAATGAGATAACCAAAAGGAAAGAACATACAGTATTTTAAAAATGGAAAGAACTGAAGAAAAAAAAATTCAAGGCTCAAGTTGAAATATTGGGGGATTCTATGGACAAGACCTTTTTAAAGTGTTGAAGAGCAAAGATGCCAGCTTGAAGACTAAGGTGTGCCTGACCCAAGCCATGGTATTTTCAACAACCTCATATGCAAGCGAAAGCTGGAAGACTGTAGAAGAATTGATGCCTTTGAGTTGTGGTGTTGGAGGAGAATATTGAAAGTGCCATGGGCTGCCAAAAAACCCAACAGATCTGTGTTGGAAGAAGTGCAGCCAGAGCGCCCCCTGGAGGCCAGGATGGCCAAACTTTGTCTCTCATACTTCGGACATATTATCAGGAGGAACCAGTCACTGGAGAAGGATATCATGTTTGGTAGTGTGGAGGGTCAGAGAAAAAGAGGAAGACCCTCAGTGAGATGGATTGGCAAAGGGGCAGCATCGATGGCCTCAAGCATGGAAACGATAGTGAGGTTGGCCCAGGATAGGGCAGAGTTTCATTCTGCTGTGCATAATAAGGTCGCTCTGAGTCAGTACCGACTCTATGGCACCTAATAACAACAACAACAACAACAACAAATGGACAAAATATTGAATGATGAAGGAAGTATCCAAAGAAGATGGAAGGAACACACAGAATCACCGTACCAAGAAGAATTGGTTGACGGTCAACCATTTCATGATGTAGCATATGATCAAGAATTGTTGGTACTGAAGGAAGAAGTCCAAGGTGCACTGAAGGCGCTGATGGAATGAATTCATTTAGGGAAAGCAAATCATAGTGTCATGTCTAATTGTTCTATAATAATCTAGATAGCATCTAAGAGCCTTGGCAAAAAATTAATAAATATCTTGTTCATTCTGACTCATGGAGAGCCCCTTTGCTATAAAGCAGAACTGCTCCATAGGGTTTTCTTGGCTATAATTTTGATGGAAGCAGATTGTGAGGTCAGTAATGTCGATGGGTAGATTTGACCTGCCAACCTTTAGGATAATAAACAGCACAAGCCATTTGTACCACCCAAGGACCTTTTCATTTATATTTGATGTCACCAGAGGTTTATCGTATCTGTCCCAGGGTGTAGACGTCTTCATTCCAGTGAATAGGTTGCTTTCTCAGAAGCCTCCAGGTATAATTTATGGCTTTTAAAACCAGTCAAAGGTAATCTCATTACCCTTTGACAGAAGATATGTCTGCTAATTAATATTCAAGCCATGGTATGGTCAATCATCTCACATACAGGTGAAAGGAGGACAATGATGAATAAGGAATACTGGAGAAGAGTAGATACTTTTCAATTATGGTGTTGGCAAAGAATATGGATTATCCAGTAGACTCCCAAATAACCAACAAATCTGTCTTGGAAGAAATACACCCAGAATGCTTCTTCTCAATGAGAATGGTGAGACTTCACTCATGTACTTTGGAAATGTCATCAGCAGAAACCAGTCCCTGGTTAGAAGGACATTATATTTGGTAAAGTAGAGGGTCAGTGAAGGAGCTCTGGTAATGTAGTGGTTACGAATTGGGCTGCGAACCTTAAGGTCAGCAGTTTGAAACTACCAGCTGCTCCATGGGAGAAAGATGAGGCTTCTGCTCTTGTAAAGATTTACAGCCTCGGAAACCCTGTACAGGATCGTTATGAGTCGGAACCGACTCCACAGCACAAAACAACAACAACGGAGGGTCAGTGAAAAACAGGAAAACTCCTAATGAGATGGATTGACACCGTATCTGCACCAATGAGCTATATCTAACATAGATTGTGAGGATGGTGCAGAACCATAGGATTTTGTTCTGTTGTGCATAGGGTCTCACTCAAGTGTGTTGGGACAGACTTGAGAGTCCTGGTGTGACACTGTAGGATTAGCACTTGACTGATAACCATGAGGCTGGCAGTTCAAGTGCACCAATTGCTCTTCAGAAACCCTATACAGGGTTGCTATGAGTCAGAACTGACTCTATGAGGCTTAACAACAACAACAACACGACTGCTAAGGGAAAAGAAGCTTAATGAAAGAATTTTCTTCCTGGATAACATGACACAGTCCCTTGAGGAAGAAAGTTCTTTCATCTACATTTTGTGATTCACTTGTGTAAGATGGTTTGGCAGCCATTTTGCAACCAAGAGATGGTAAATCTTAGGACAAAATGCCAACATATAGGGGTGGGTAGAATTGGAGCACAGTTGAGGCAAAGGAAGAATTTGGGGTTTTGATGGTATCATTATCTGCTACATGCACTCTACAACCACCCACCCTAAGACTTCTTGTTAGTGTCAACATTAGACAAACGCCCTTTGTGCGTAACCTACTGTCAGTTGGATCTTCTGCCCCTTGCAGCCTAATGCATCCTAACGGGCACATCCTCAGGACTCACCTTTCCTTGGTGTGTTAGCACATACTTCCACAGGACATCTCGACTGTCTCCCCAGTGAGTACGGGGCACCAGTTGGAGCATCTGGAACAGATATTTGGGGAGATCAGCTGATATATACTGGCGAAAACAGAATTGCCATCAAGTCAATTCTGACTCTAACAGCCCTGCATGACAGTAGACTTATTCCATGGGGTTTCCAAGTTGTGGTGTTGGAGGAGAATATTGAAAGTGCCATGGGCTGCCAAAAGAACCAACAGATCTATGTTGGAAGAAGTGCAGCCAAAGTGCTCCTTGGAGGCCAAGATGGCCAAACTTCACCTCTCATACTTTGGACATATTGTCAGGAGAGACCAGTCCTGGAGAAGGATATCATGTTGGGTAAGGTGGAGGGTCAGAGAAAAAGAGGAAGACCCCTAATGAGATGGATTGGCCAAGTAGCAGTATCGAAGGACTCAAGTGTGGCAACAGCAGTGAGGTTGGCCCAGGATCAGGCAGTGTTTTGTTCTGCTGTGCATAAGGTCGCTATGGGTTGGTACCAACTCAATGGCACCTAACAACAACAACAACAATAAATCTTTATGGATGATAAAGATCACCAGGTCTTTCTCTCGCGGAGGCACTGGGGGTCAGTTCAAACTCCCAAATTTTAGTCTAGTGTTATTGTTTGTTATCATTGAGGTGATTCTGACTCATAGAACCCCATGCAACAGAGTAGAACTACCCCTATATGGTTTCCAACTCTGTGAATCTTTATGAAGACACATTTCCTCACCTTTTTTCCCACAGAGAAGCTGGTGATTTCAAAACAGTGACCATTCTCTTGGCAGTCAAGTGCTTTAACCACGGTGCCACCAGCACACTCAATAGTATCATCTCATATTTCATCAGAATACCTACACGATGAATGCCTGCCCATCCCAACTTCAGGTTGTTCTGTAGTTACCTCACATTCATCATGTTAAAAACTGAGTTTTCCTGTTCTCCTTCATGGTAATTAGACACCCAGGTGGGAAAAGACCTGTGATTCAGCCTACAAAGACTGACAGCCTGTGTTCTACAGGGTTGCTGAGTCGGAAGGGACTCAATGGCAAGGACTTGGTTGGGTTTGGGTTGGGACCTCCAATAAATGCCCTCAACGAGGAAGTTCTGAGTTAGTTTTGATTTACCATTCCTCGACCATGTCTCATCCATCTATACGGTCACTAAATATAGATATATCGGGCACCTGGATAATATGACACAGTCTCTTGAGGAAGAAAATCTTCATCTATATTTTATAATTCATTTGTATATGATTAAAAAAAAGTTTTGTTGTGAATTATGTGATAGTTTACATGGGAGAACATTAGTTTTACATTCATCCTATTGTATATCGTTTCATTACCATGGTTACAATCCCCTCCATGCATCATCATCAACCAAATGGTATACATTACAAGCCTGCCCCCTGGTCGTTAACACACAGCCCCTCTCCCTCTCTGTGTCAAAAGTCTCCAGCTGCTCCATCTCTCTACATCATCATCTCTGCCTCCATCTCAGGCATCACTGCTTCTCTGGGTAGGGTCCCGCTCTCCGCTCTTCTCACTTCATGGTCCCAGGGACCTTCCCTCCTAGACTGGAAAGTTAATCACTCCCTTCTTTGCTACAAAACATCTACCTTTACATTTCTAACCCTCACAAGCAGTCCTGATAACAATTATATGATGGTTTTTAAGCCATCTTGCAACCAAGAGGTGGCAAATCTTAGGACAAAATGCCAACACATAGGGGTTGGCAGAGTTGAAGCACAGTTGAGTCAAAGGAAGCATTTGGGGCTTTGCTAGTATCATTAATCCACTACATTAATTCTTCAAGTACCCAGTCTTTGCTCTGGGCACTGAACATAGAGCAATAAATAAGATTTGAAGTCACTACTCCAAGGAGCTTATATTCTAATAATAAATAAATCTTGAGTTGTTTTCAAGTGCCACCAATTCAGTTCTGACCCAGAGTGACCCAGTATAGGGTTTCAAGGAGCAGCTGGTGAGTTTGAACCGCCAACCTTGTGGTCCTATGCTTATCCTACAGTGCCACATCAGGACTTCAGAGCATATTTTAAATTTTGGATGTGAATGTTAATTGAGGGCAATAGTTTTGGTGATTGATTCAACCTTAAGGGCTCCTGAAAATCTCAAGAACTCAAAAGCTTACATAAGAACCTTGTTGTTGTTTTTAAGTGTTGAGTCCATTCTGACTATGTAAGGATTCCAAGGAATGGCTTGTGGGCTTGAACCACATGAGGACTGTGATGAGAACCTTGTTGTTGTTGCTAAGTGTCATCAAGTTGATTCTAACTCATAGCTACCTTTTATTGGGTTTTCCAAAAGCAGCTGGTGGATTTGAACTGCTGACCTTTAGGTTAGCAGTACAGTGATTATCCTACAACAACATACCAGGACTCCAATGGGAACACTAGGAGGCTGTAGACATGAGGTGGCAGGGTTGTCAGACTTCCAAATTTTCAAGGAGGAAAGAGAACCGCCAACAGCCCAAGACTGATTCCTGTGAGGTGTAGGTCAGACATGCCTCCTCTCTCTAACCGTTTTCCCATTCACGATTATAAGATTCACTAGGGTAGTAACTCAAGGACCAGAAATTACTCAGGATGCAGTTCTTCAATCAGATGGCCTCTTCTGAGCCATGTCCACAGGTAGGCCTCCTGCCCTGCTTGGGCAAGTGTTACAAGCACGTGAGCTCCATCAGTAAGTGCCCAGAGGCTCGCTGCTTTGCCAGGAAGCCTCTTGACTGAGGGCACTTAGCTCTGTGGCTCTATGGGTGGGCACACTCATACGCCCGTTGTAGCTACCTCACTCTGTGGGCCAGGAAGCCCATTGAGCATCTCATGCCAGACTCTGGATTTGGCTGCCACTGTCCCTCTGCTGCGGCAACTCCCCATCTCATACCTCCTCCTGTGAAGCAGCTCTCTACAGGTTTCCTGGGTCTAGGAGGTTCAAAAGTGCAGGAACCCTGGCTCCAAACTGCATGCTCTGCTTCCGTCTCTTCTTGGTGGTAGTGAGGTTCTACTTTGTACCTCTGGGCTGGCTCTTTTTAAGCCTTGTGACAAAACTAATGGGTCCTCTCATTAGGGTTCCATACACTTTATTTGTAAGGGTTCTATGCATCTCATTTGCATGGTTAATAAGCAGCCCAATCCTCTTGATGGTGGGCCAAAAGCACCTTATTTGCATAGTTCCACACAATCATTTGGTGGGAGTTACATATGTGGACTTCAGAAAGTCTGTGGAAAAATTCCATTATCTTTTAATTCCATTTTACTGTGAACTTTTTGAAGCCCCCTAATATGTATCTATCTATCTAGCTAGCTAGCCAGCTAGCTAGCTCTCTATCTACCAATCATCTATCTATCTATCTGTTATCTGTCTATCTATCTAGGATCCTTGTGTGGTGCTGTCAGACAATCACTGGACTGATAACCTAATAAATACCAGCAGGGTCACCCATTCTGGACATTTTCCCACTGAGCTTCCAGATTACAATAGGCTAGGAATAATGAGAGATGGATTATTTCCGAATATTTAGTTACTGAAAACTTTATAAGTAACAATGGAACACTGTTGATTAAAACCAGAATACTGACTATTGAAACATGATGAAGAGCACCAGAATATTTGTCTGATCTTGTGCTGGAAGGTGAGCCTCTCAAGTTGGAAAGCAAAGGCACCCAATGCGATGGATTGGCACAGCAGCAGTAATGAATGGGCTTGAGCTATGATGTGAAGTTGGCACAGGACCGGGCAGGGTTTTGTTGTGTTGTGCATAAGGTCACTATGAGTTGGTGCTGACTTGACAGCACCTAACAACATCTCTCTCTATATAGATATATAAATATATACATATATACATAGATATTTAGATATAGATAGATAGATATAGATATAGACAGATATAGATATA